GCGGTAATGTCGCTGTATCGAACAGCAAACTTTTATTCTGACAATGATCGACCCTGATTCTCTGACTAATATTGAAATTCAAAAAAGAATTAATTTAAAATCTTACTTCTTGATCGAAAATGAAAAAGCAAATCATGATATTTGGAAAAATGATATCTCATTAATTGCAAAAAAAGATCAGAATGTTACTCGAATTCTAGAAGGATGGGCAGCTTGTAATTATTGTTATTATGCTTATCGAACACATTCAAAGATAGATGCAGGTGGTAAGAGAAAGAATCACGGATTAAATAATTTACATGATCATTTATAGCAATGGTAAGTAGTTCGAGTATCATGTAAATCAAAAACGAGCGGCTAAGTTTACTTTCTCTTTCTTTTTATCTAATTTTTTCTAATCTAACAACGATCACAATTAGATCCTGAATGTGTTGAATCGTTAGTAGTTCTGAAAGAAGCATATTTAAATACTAATTGGCCAAAAAAATAAGAAGTTTTCATTTCTTTTGTTTGTGAATATTTCACGTTCTGGTTTGATTCTCAGTTTGTTTGATACTATTTAATCTGTTGCAGATATTGTTGTAAACTGGAATTAGGACAGTGCAGAAAAGTGATAACTTCAAATAAACAAGGAACAAAAAGATGAAAAAGCTAGTGAAAATGACAGTTTTGCCGGTTTTTCATCGTTCTCGAAATTTGTTGAAAACCGGCCGGTCTTTTTGCCGTTTTTCACCGATCTAAAAAGATTTTTGGGCCTGCCGGTCCGGTCCGGTCCGGTCTGCTGTTTTGAACCGGCCGGCCCGGCCCTGCCTCTTATTTTTAGACCGGTTCCAACTCTGCAGCTGAAATTGACATTTGATCTCAAGGTGATATATATCCTAAAAAGGAAGCAGTTATTAATAAAGCTTCTGCGTTCCATACACATACTATAAATAGATCAAAAAAATGAATTAAAAGACAATTTGAATGAATTACCTTGAATGATTTTTCTGGTTTCACGGTTATTTTTATAAAAAAGTTGGTTGAAATATAGGGAAAGAAGAAGACAAACGTTTACTAAGGAAATCGAGGATTAAAAGTGCTATGTTGATAAAATCGAGGGAACGAAGTAATGTATTGCTACAAGAAAGAAGAAAAGAACAACGTGTAAATGGCATTCAAATGTATACAAGTACTAGTTTCTTTCGCTTTTCTGAAGATTATTGTGTTATGGCACATATTAAAGACGTGCCATAGAAGAGAATGGTATGATAGGTATCATACATATATATGTGTATATTCGTTCTCTTTCTTTCTATGAGGAATTTCCCCAGTATTAGTTCTTTTCGTTCTCTTTCTTTCTATCAGAAATTTCTCCAGTGTTAGTTCTTGGTTTCTTTATTTTCTGTGATCGCTTATATGTATCTCCAGCTTCCCAGTCTAGTACATGAACTCTAGAATCATATAAGGACGGGGTACCCTTTAACCCGCTAAGAGATATGGAAAGCGACAGTATCATTATGCTTAGAATTGCTTCAAACCCCAGGACATTGAAGGGTTTTCTCGACTTTTACAATGTTTTTTCGATCATCACGCACCTACTTCACTATAAAAGCGCTCGTTTCCACGTAAAACTGTTTTATTCGTTTTGTATGCTAACCAATAGAAATTCAAAATGGCTGACATGCCTAAAATTCTACGTAGAGCGCTTCGTTTTCTCAAAAATAATGCGAAAAAGTGGAAAATCTAGCGTAATTATTGAAAAGAAGCCCTAATTATAATTTTCCCACCAAATGTGCACAGAAATAGACTTGAGCGAGAATTAAAATCGTGAGTTTGGCGCCAAATCGATCTAATGAACTTCTCGTTTAGCTGTTCTAATACATTTTTTTATTCGTGATCGCGCGTACTCATCGTTAGTTAAAACCTAACATGTGGAGAAGTTGTTAGTTAAACCCTAGTTCCCGTAACTAATCTTCCATCACATGGCTTCAGCAGCAGTACCAGCAGCAGTGTCAAAAAAAATCGTTTGGAGTTGGCAGTCAAATTCCGATCCATGGAATGAAGACGTAAAAGAAGAATGGCAGCGTTATCCAGATTTAACAAATGAATTTATTGAAAAAACATATCAAAACCAAGAGAACGAAGTTAATCTAAGAGATTATGTTATTGATTTTAGAAGTATGGTACAGATAAGTAGGACAGATTCATACAAACAAAGACCGATTCAACGCGAGGAAGTTGACATTAGCCGACATTTAAGAGAAGAAAGATTTTCGTTTGCTGAATATCCCAGACCTGCTGCAAAATACTTTGGTCAAGGCCGAGGCAATAACAAATTTATAAATACGTGGCTGTCGAAATATCCTGGAGTGAAAGATGATGAGCGGCTGGTTGTGAAGCAAGCTGCTAAAGGTTAGTTGTATGACTAGAAACTCCCATTTTACACGTTTTTGTCATGCCTTTTCAATTCAGGTATCGAAGTAGAAGGTGAATCTTGCGGCGAAGGATTTGAAGCTAAAATTATGTCTGATCAGCTAATGGAAGTTCAAAATAATTTTGATGATAAAATCAAAGCTGCAGATAATGATAAAGATAGAACATCAATTAAACACAGGTTTATAGAAGAAATTTCTAAATGTTGTTTGCAATTTTATACAGCTGAATCATTTCTTTATAAATTAATGAATAAAACTCTTAGAAATGAAGATATGAGTAAAATTGATACATTAGGT